AGCGCTCCCTTCCCGGATCTGTATTCCTTGTTAGAAAGGCTCACAGACAACTAGTTTTGTCTCGCTCAGGGGTTTTTCTCTCATTTCATGTCCATTCCGTTGAGCAGTCTCGTCGTGGATTTCTGTTTTTGTGTTTTCTCTTAGCAGCTGCCGATTTCTACCGAATGCTCGGGCTGGTCACTTCTTGGGTACGGATGTGGTTCGCTAGGACAGAAAGCGACGCTCCCTCGTTTTGCAGCGCGGAACATTTTTTCGCTTCAGGAACCTCAGGTCCAAAGATCATGTCTGGACATGGAGTTGCCGCAGCAAAAAATGTTTCACGGAAGTCGCTTTCTATCTTAGCGAACCAATTCCTTGAATAATGTCAAAATCAGGGTTCGTGGTGGAGACAAGATTAACGATTCACCCATTTTTCGATGAAGAGAGCGCATCTGCACAATGTTTTTACAGATTAATTCTGTTGTGGACATTGGAGCTCCATGCCATTCTCAGTTCAGTGCATTAGTTTATGAATTTGTGGATGATACCGGTTTTGAACCTTTACCTGAAATGGAACGAGGACAAGGTCTGGAGAATATTGATGCAGTAAGTTATCAAGCACATCTTGGAGTCTAGTTTTTTTTGTCATATGATTGGTGCTGTTTTTAGAAACCTCGTCGAATGCTACAATTCACAGTAAGTGATGGAGAAACTGATTTGAGGGCCATCGAATACTATTCAATAAAGCGCTTCTCTCTGCTCACCAAGCCTGGATCCAAGGTACACTTTTGAAGGATGGCTAATTTCATTCAGCTGTAGAACCATATTCTGTCTCCTACTCGTGTTTTTTAGATTCTATTGATTCCACCTGTTTCATGCAGAAAGGGAGTGCTTCTATTGAAGCCGGAAAATGTCCAACTTCTAGGTATGCAATGCTTGTATTTATCTGCGCAGTTTTACTGATTATGATGTAAAATGTTAGCTCCGAAATGTTTCTGCTTCGTGTTCCAACGTTCAATGTTCAAGGAGGTGATGTTGAGTCTCTTTTCATGGCTGGGCGACCTCTTCAAGTAATGGCAGAGAAACTGGGCATTACTATACCGAACTCAAAGTAAGTAATTTTATGGAACCAAGTTCTTATTTAGAATTAATAAGGGTTGAATTTGGTAAGTTTTCTTATAATGTTCTATTTGTTTGGGAGGTTTAAAAGTAGACATAAGTTCGTCTATTCCGTGGTGTCTTTGTGCCGTAGAGTTTTTTATTTCGAGCAGTGTACGTTGTAGGAAACAAGTGCCCAGCAGTGGACAGGCTGAACAACGTGCAGAACCTAAACGAGCAAAAACCGGAATAGAAGCAGAAAATGGGCAAGTTATGCATATTCATTGGTATATAATGTGATTTTCGCTTGTGGAAGTGTCACAATATTGTGTTAGAGTCTTCTTAAATGTGGTGTGCTTTTAAGCAAAGCGAATAGTGCAGCCAAGCCCGTGATAATTCCTACTGGTCCGGAAGCTCCTATTCTGCATGATGAAGATTATGATTTTGATCCCGCTGAATTTGAGCAAGGTCTTTCTTTTCTCTATCGTTTGAATTTGTTATTTGTGTAGGGAATTTTTTGAAAGCACTGCAGAAGAAACGCCCTATGGTGAGGAAGATGTTGATCTACAATCTCGTCACCCAGATGACCAAATTGTTCCTGACAGTCCTTTGCCCGTGGATACGAGAGACAGTTGCAGGTAAGAATTGTCATTTCAGCGTTATTAACACTGCAAAACTTGTGACCTAAATGCTCACGGTAAATCTTCAAATTCAAAATAATAACTACACCTAACTTCGTATAATGTATGCTATACGAAGTTATTACGAATTTCACCGTTCATCCCGTTTCCAGCATAACAGTTTTATTGAAAGCACTTCCTGTCTTGACTTTCACCAAGGAGGTCCAACGAGTCGGTTTGGCTGTAAGAAATGAGGTGTACGCATACTTCCCTCTTATACGTCCTAAGCCAGATCCTGCATCGTCATATATGCCTCCTCTTTCTTGACGGAGCGTAAACAAAACTCGCATGTTATGGTCACGCTCGCTCACGGCAGTTCAGGGACTTCTCATAGAAACATGCTACCATAGCAAAGTGCGACTGCGGGAAAATCCTGCTGACTCCGAGTTCCAAACATCGCTTCGGCGTAAATATAGAAAGCATCTCAGAGTCTCACGGTCGAACGGAATAGATATGGTATGGGGGGGGGGGCTGGGGGGGTACGCTCCTTATCAAAATACCCGGGCCGTCCTGTTGACCTTCCCGAACAGTATTTCATTTTTTGCGAGTCATTGATGAAGTACGGAAAATTTTAACTTTTTTCTTGACATTTCTTCCTAACCATCTATCCTTTAAATTTGACTATATGCACAGGCTTCTGCACGTGAGCCACTGTAATGAGCAAGATTCAGGTTTTCCCCTGTATTTCCTGCTCCCATATGCTCTGGCGGGCCTAATCATCGTCCTCTTTCAAAGCCTGTGGCGCAGGTTCGTTAACTGAAAGCTACCGTTTTTGTTTTAATTGTGTGAAAATTTGTTTAGATTTCCCCAATGAAGCCTACCAAGAATACATCGAAGGCCAGGTCAAAAAGTCCGCCATGTAACATGGAGCTTGAAGAAACTCCTCCTGATTTTGACGCTGAATTGGTGAATTTGGCTTCAACGAAAACGTGAGGTTCCTCACGAATTGTGACGCTTTTTTGAACTCACAATTGTTGTTTGCGACAAGGTTTCCTCTCTTCTGTTTAGATCTCGCTTGTCATCATCGTCGTCTTCTGACGAAGCAGCGAAATGTCCCAGAGCGTCTGCGGTACTTGCTGCCTCTTCCTCGTCATTTTAATTATATGGTTTTCGTTCCTTTTTGAGTGTTAAAAGCTCGTTCAGGGACACCAATTCCGCACAGTTGATAAGTCATCTCCTAGCACATCTGAAGATCTCATCAACACTCGGAAACGCCCGTCAACTACTAGAGTGCAGCGTAAGTAACGGCTTGCATCGCGCTGGCCTCTTGTCACATTATTGTTTTTTTTTTGTTTTGATATTCACCAGCTGAGGCTCAGTTGGAGTTTCTCTTTTCAGCTTCGTTGATATCTCTTTGTGATTCACAAGCCGAGACGTCTGGATTGAAACGCATACCATGTGCTTCTTTCGATCCAAGCCGACGTTCTGATAAATTGGGTAGGTTTCTATATTCTCGATGTTCTATATGAGACTTTCTTTTTCAAAAATCGTTGTGTTCATTTTTCGTTGTTGTTCTGTTCCAGACTCAAGAATTAGGGTGGAGTGGAGGTTTGTGTAGTGGCATGAACATCCTTTTTTTCGTACTCCTTCCTGTATATTCCTCACTCTTTTAATCACGCATTGCTTTAATCGTTCACCGCTATATTTGATTGAAAACCTCTGCATCCCTACCCTATCACCTTTGGAGATCCCGGACACCATCGAATCATTCATTGAACTTTCTGGTCCATGCTGATGGTACCTCCTTTCATATAATGTGGGCGGGTAGCCTTTGACTGGTGTATAGCAGGGCATCGCAAGGCCGTGTTGTTGTGAAGGTTTCTGACTTACTCCTACCTGTGCACTGACTCGGGCGTAATTTTCTATGGTTTCAATTAATTCTAGGGATACAAGGCTTCCTTAAGTCTGTTACCTCTCCTGCAGAGCGGCAAAGCAATGGAAAAGATGTGGTTTCGGAGAGCACCCGTAAGAAGGTATCAATAGTAACATCGTGGATTGCGAATAACAGTGCTACATTTGCCTAATTTTTTGTTTCAAGGTGAAAGTGGAAGTAATTGACATAGAAGATGATGACGACGTAAATCACGATACAACAACAACGTCATTCAGTCCAGCTCAGCCCTGCAGACCTTTTCAAAACGAGCCAGAAGCATCGTCGCTCCAAGTTAGATTGTGTTGTTTCTTTCTCCAGGCGAATACTTAGTGTTTTGAACTTCTTCGTGAACAGAGTTTTCAGTGTGATCCTCAAAACGCTTTATTGATGAAATTCCAAAAGCTCAATATCGTGAGGATAGCCGATGCTTCAAAGCAGATGCGTTTCGCCGTAGGATCGTGTCGCAAAACAGTACAGGTAGTATATTTTTCCGTTTTTTGTGTTCTTTGTTCGCTTTTGAATTCTGGCCATATTTTTAGTAAACCCTTTTGTGTATCTGATACTAGTTTTCCACAAAAATTCTTGTTCACACTGTGGTTCTAGGCCATCATTTCGGATATTATCGATTCACTTAGAATAGTAGATGGAATGTGGACTATGAAGGTCAGTTTGTTTTATTGGTGCTGTTGGGAGTGTGGTTACCTTTGCAATAACATAAGATTGTAGACGTTCATTGACTTATCTGCTTCGGTGAGAGTGGTCACCATATTCACTATTTTTCTTGAAGGTCAGCATACAAGACGAGTCGGTCGATGGATTTGTGTGTCTGGTAGATAGTCCCACACTGTCTTCTCTTATCGGTTTGACGCCATCTGAAGCAATGGTCAGTCTCCAATAGCAGACTGATTGATTCCGCATTTGTTTTGCCAATGTTTCGCTCTTTCCCATGGCTGTTCAGGAGGTACGCGCATCCAGTGACATAGAGCGGCGCAAGGATGGTCAGCGTCG